TGTCACGCGCTTATATTTTGGGTAATTTTCTGCGTCATTCTTGCTCGTCCCTTGGCATATTTTTCGGACCACAGGAGACATTCCAGGCCGAGCCATGTGCTAAGCCCGATGGACGAGAGTCATGACCGGAACTTCTTCCCGAAGCCGACTCACACTCCGGACGACTGCACGTTCGGACGACCATGACAAGCCCTCCCGACATTCACGGACGCAGCCCCGAACTATGACCACGGAGCCAAGACCTTGTCCCCGGCTCACTTGGAGATCCTAGCCAAACGCCTCCTCGGACCAAAGCCCGCTTGGACCGCTACCACTTGTGAGCTTGAGGAGTGACTTCGGCTTGGGCTTGCAGAGAAGCCCAAGTCCCGTGACCAAGCCCCTTGGTCTCTCGGATGGCCAAGCCCATCAACCCCTCTCGGCCCCTCAGAATGGGTCCCCTTTTTGGTCTAGATTCGTCCAAGTGAAGATAAGGCAAGTGCATCATGATCTATTCGGATATGGCAAGTCCTAGAATGTTCCGATCTTGTATCTCTCGGATATGGCATGATGTAAGTCATATCCCCTAGATTGATCGATTAGTGTTCTTTATGGAAAGTTCGGGAAATTAGGAACGATTGATTGATTGTGATTGATCCTTGGAGATTTCGGACCTTGTGCTATAAAAGGCCACCGAAATCCCTTGAGACATTCATCCTAGAATTCTCTCTTTTCTTTTACACCGAGTCTCTCTCTCTTGTAAGTCTCTCTTGAGTTTGTTCGCCGGTTCGTTCCGGCCACCGTTGTCGGAACGAACCCGGTTCTCTCATTGTACTTATACTTTCGCACCTTTAATGAAATGGCCTCGTACTTGGTTCATTCTCATCTCTCTCGCTCTCTCTTTCTCTCGGCCTTCTCTTTTCCCATTCGGATCCCATGATCCTAGGCTTGGTTCGGTCCCCGTTCGAACATGACTTGAGTTTCTCGGCCAAGACCTCTCTCCATGAGTCTTTGGACCGAATCTCTTCGTTCATTTTAACGAGGTAATATTTGAATCTTTTTCTCCTAGGTTGATTTTTCCATATTTTATAAAAAAGGGAAGCAATAAGGTCGTTTGACCACTGCACAGAAACACATCACGGTATGGATGGGAAGCAAAACACCTATGCATCCTTCTCGGACTCCTCTTCATCCATATATGACTCCGATGCAGGATCCTGGAGGTCCGTTTTCTCAATTCTTGCAAAGTCTAGAGACGTTATTTTCCTTGTTTATTACTTTGAAGATCCCTCGTTTTTGTAATTACATTTAAAAATAACAGCTACACCTATCCATGATGGCATGAGAACCCCCATGCGTGATAGAGCTTGGAACCCTTACACGCCTATGAGTCCACCTAGGTACCTTGAGTTTTCTCCTTTCATCTTTTTCCTCATTTGATGTACTGATCCTGACATGGTATAATACCTAACTACGTATTATTTTTTTTATCCAATCAAGAAATTAATCCTTGATCCCCCTCAAATATATTAGGGATAACTGGGAAGATGGGAGAATTCGGGAGGGTGCCCATGGTTTTATATTGACTCAATTGTTCCCACATATTTTCGATGTGGGACTCTAACAATACCGCCCCCTTTAGACAGCGACGATCGCAGCGCTGGCGGGTACGCACCCTTTGTGCTCCTCTCCCGACCGTTCCTCTCTCGTCGCGTCGTCTGCATGTCCAAGGATCGGTTGACTCTGATACCAATTTGATAGAACCCATCCATAAATAATGGATCAAACTAAGTCTCAAAACCCATGGATAGAACTCACCTCAAAAGCTAGTTTGTCGGGGGAGAGTGCCCATGGTCTTATATTGACTCAATTGTTCCCACATATTTCCGATGTGGGACTCTAACAGAGTATTTCTAAAAACTTGCATATACACTCTCCTTTCTTACATCTATGAAGAAACTATCTCCAGTTCTGTTGTGTTCTTACATCTGTGAATGTGGAACACAATAGCACCATGTTCATCTCTGATTTGGTGGAACAAAATACAATTGGAAGCTACAACTAGGGGAGGTCATAGATTCAGAAACTGGTTCTGACTTCTGGGTATCTGTTTTGAGGAGATTCCATGAAGTTGTTTCCATATTCTAACATATCATCATGTTCTTACTCTGTTCTACTTTTGTCAGGACGGTTTTTGTAAGCTGGCCCTCGGGTCAAGTGGCGAAGGACGCTATAACAGCTCTACCGAGCGAACTGGAGATAGTTTCTCTGAGGAAGAACGATAGAGTCAAGATCATCGGGGATCCGTATCGTGGGTCGACAGGTGAACTAATCGGTACTGATGGCTCAGACGGTATCGTTAGGTTAGATGACAGCCTCGACGTTAAGATTCTGGATCTGGCTATATTAGCGAAGCTAGCTGAAGCTTGATCACACTTGTTCCATGATGAAGGGAAATCTCTATGATATGTCGTATATTGTATATTAAATAGCGTGGAAAATATAGATGTGTACTAAAACACATGAAAAAAGTGAAAATGGTAAAATGTGTAACGAAAAATAGCGTGGAATTTTCCCTTAGATAAAATACTGCTTCAGTAAATATCATTGGTAAATTGAGCTTACGAACTCATTTAGTTTTTAGTTTCCAACATCGAAGTTAGAAGACGATACTACTGAACCGGGTCCAAGCTCCTCGCCTTTGAACCTTTCCCCAGTGCCTTCGAACATCGTCCTCAACTGATAAAACGACCACCTCGGTTCTCTGAGAGAGATCTCTTCTTGCATTTCCTCCTCTGACCAATGCCAAGGACACTGTGGACAAGACGCAGCCCACCGTCACGAATACAATGGCTAGCTACTAGTGTCACGCCGGAGGCCGTCATATATGTGTTTGGGTTTTTGAGATTTCTCGGGTTGGGTTTGAGGAAGAGGGTGGTGCATTTGTAGTGATGGGGATGAGAAGTTTTGGCACAACATCCCCCACTTCAGAAAGTAGATTGGCACAAAATCGTAGGGTGTATGTTCCGCACGCCGAAGCACTCATTTATTACATGGTTGTCCGCCTTGGATCGATGTTCCACAAGAGACCGCATGGCTTCATGGGGTTTATCCACGGACACCTCTTGCTTGTTTTGTGGTAGTGCAGATGAATCGAGAAATCACCTGCTATTTGAATGCTCAGTAACAAAAGGCCTCCTTATGTTTTGTACGGGAAAATGGGGACCTTTGCTCAAGATGATACCTCCTGGATTGCCATTCTTACATGGCTTCTGGGGTGCATGTATCACTTGGCAGCTTCTCCCTATCTGGTCCATTATGTATTTTTGTTAGCCTCTGGTTTTTGTCTACCACCAGCCTATAAAGGGTGGAACTAACTCTTGTACAACCTTTAACCAAAAAAAAAAAGAAAAAAATGTGATTCTATGGAGGCTGAGAAGAAAAACATATTTGTCTCCCATGCTAAGATTTTTAGGGTTGTGGAAAGTTCCTGAACAGCTTGCAGATCTAAAAAAACCAGTATAAATAAATACGGGTAGGCTCTGGTTGGATCCACAGAATTTTTAGGTAACTAAGGTAAGAGCTGATCTCGAAAAACTTATCATCTACACTTTAATAATATGATGAAAAAATTAGTGGTATTAATCTAGTTTCTATATATATATAGGAATTTAATATTGATTTTTAATTAATTAGCTTATATAATAAATACTAACCTTATTGACACTCTCTCCTCCATCACGTAAAGATAATATTACTGGACTAGATTTTGCACAGAAACATGTTCTTTGCAGTATTCTGGACATCTTTTAGCCATTCACTTTGCTATTTATTTATTCGTCTAAAATATTTAAATGATCAAATTTATCGTATGGAACTGTGGCTAGCACTAGTATAGCATCATTGGGCCTTAGTAGGCTCTTATTGGGCCTAGGCCCATTAACATGTATGAGAAACTAGGGTTTCAGGTTGCTACCACGCTTCCTTCCTATACATACACTGCCACACAAATCAAACCTATCGATAAGTTATCTTCTTCGCACCAAAAAAAAGGTTCCTAGATCGTTCTTCTGCAATTATTCTAGGGTTTGTCTGATTTCTACGAAAGTTTAGAAATTTATTCGTGGGTTTATTTCTTTTTTTAATTTTGCTCGGATCTTTCTGTGAGAGTGGCGATGACGAGCTATTTGAGAAAAGTCATGCACCACTCTGATTGAGAATCCTTGATGGATCTTGTGCTGATAAATTTCTCTACCCATATTTCATCCGAGCCTTGTCTGTTTTGGATTCTCCAAAATATTTGAGAATTTTCTTCTGATGTGGTTTTTGATTTTGAGGATTTCGATTTAGATAGATGGAGGAGAAGGGGAAACCAAATGATGGGTCGTAGTGACCAGACCATGATGCGGACCGTATAGCTCTTTCTGCTTCTGAGGACAACCTTTGGTTTCTGATGGTTTCCCTTCTCTACTTGAATGAGATTATGATAATGGTCCAATGAGAAGCAAAAAGATAACACAAGATTTCTGTAAAAATATTCTCTATTTGTCTGTATTATTTATACACAATTAAAAATGATTGATCACTTAAACATGATCCTACAAAATTGGAAATGAGAAAGTGGAAACCGTATATGAAAACGTTTGAAGACGTATTCTTTCATGCTTCATCGTAATATCCTTCTCTCCTCTACGTCACCGTTTCTCATCGTATCAATACTTTCCTCATCAGAAAGAACCTTGTCCTCAAGGTTAAATGCAGGAAAATTGATCCGAAGTTATTCCGCATTCTCCTGCCTAGTCTCGATCAAATTGTTTCTCTAGGTACGAGGCGTGTGAGAAATGTTTTACAAAATTTTTCTGTCATGGATGTTTGTACTTGGGCAAATCACCCTGCAATATCGAAACTTCTGTTTCCAGAAATTTGATTTTTTTTTTGTTGGTCGCCGTTGTGATATTATGTATTGTGGTTCGGATCGTAAATGGTAGAAGCTCAACAATCCGGATTTCAGATTGTCAATGCGTTTTTTGGTTATCATCGTGATATCATCAAATGGTTCGGATCAACGATAATGAAAAAGAAAAAAGATAGATTTTGAAACCGATGGTAGTGGTCTCATTGCAAAGAGACAACACTAGATTTCTGCAAAAATATTCTCTACTTTATTCATTCATTTGCGTGTATTATTTATACACAATTAAAAATAAAAACATGATCCTACAAAGTTGGAAATGAGAAAGTGGAAACCGTAATCTTTATTTACCTCTATGAAATCGTTTGAAGGCTGTCTTCTTTCATGCTTTAGTGTAATCTCCTCTCTTCTACGTCACCATTTATTTACTGTTTACTAAAATCATAAATATATATAAAAAATACTTGTTTAGGAAGGAAATAGTAATCAGACCTCGTGAAATTCTACCGCTCAAGATTGAAATTGTTCACGAACTAAATAGAATAATTGAATCGAACAACAACGGTTCACTTCGGTTCCTTATTTATTTAATAACCGATCAGTTGAAAAAGTTTAATAATCATTCAGATTCGAATCCGATTGGGTTAATAATTGAATAACCGAGTTAACTGAATGGGTATTAAGTTTGATTTAATTTTAAAAATTTGAACTTAGGTGCCTAAGTGTTTTTTTTTCCATTCTTTCTTTATGTATGCGGGTAGAACTTATGTCTTTGATATATTTATATTGATTACTATATTTTTATTAAATTATTATTTCATAATTAATTTTTTATTTTATTTTTGTTGATGAATAAAGTTTTATAGAGAATGAACAAATGAACAAATGAGAGATTAACAATGTCTTATATTTGATTGAAATCTTATTTTAGATCCATTTGACATTTGTTGAATCTTTATTCTATTAGTTTGAAATTTATCGTATATAAAGTTTTTGAAAGCTTTTAAAGTTTTTATTAAGATTATAAAACATTATATTAGTATTTTGTGGTTTACTATTTGAATTGATCATTTTGAAAGATAAGTATTTATTTATTTTAAATTGTTTGAAAAATATTTTTGAAGATTTTTTTTATAATTTCTATCATGTTCGAAGTTTTTGACGAACTCTTAAATTTTTAGAAGAATTTTTATATTTTTTTCATATTTATTAGTATACATTAATAATTAAACCCAATTGATCTAATCGAATTGAACCAAAGCAAATCAAATTAAACTGTTTAGTTATACTTTATTGTGGTAAAATCGAATCAAACTGAATCGATTAAATTTATATAACCGTTCGAATATGTTTTCTTTATAACAAAATAAACGAAAATGAAAATCGAATCCAAATTCGAAATGATCACTCTATTTGTGCTCTTCTGATTAGGTACGAGTAAATAGAAAATATGGAGTAAAAAAATACATTTATTAGGATGTTGTCCAAATATTTAAATACCTGAATAAAGTATGCTCAAATTGAAAATAAAGGAAACCCTGATGGCCAAATTACAATTTTAGCTTAATCTCTATTCACGTACCTCATGTCGGACAACAGACTGAGGCTGAAATTACAATCCTACCCACACGGCTAGAGCATAATTATGTTAAGAAAACTGTAAATATACTTAATCTCAGGGGTATAATTTCTATCACCTCTCTGTCTCTCTCATCCCATCGACAAGCTTGAGTTTGTTCATAATCTCAGATCGTCTCCTTCCAAGTTCGAAATTCTCTCTTTCTCAATATCGTTGGGTCTGAGATTTTCATTTGGGGTTCCGTCACAATGTCGGGAAAAGGAGCCAAGGGATTGATCATGGGGAAATCTCCGGCGGGAAGCAAGGATAAAGACAAGGACAAAAAGAAACCTATTTCCCGCTCCTCACGCGCCGGTCTCCAGGTTCTCTTCTCTTGATCTTCGTCTTGTGTGTGTTTCATGGTGTTTTGGGGTTCGTGATACTTGACCTGTTTCGGTGGCGTTAAGGGCTAATTGCTTTTCGTGTTGTTGAACCTCGCCGTGGTGAGTTCCTCTGGGAACGATCTCTGATCGTGGAATTTCTGGTGGATCTTGAGACAATCCAAAGTTCTCGATCGTTTGAATGTTACAGTTTTAAGCATGTGCGACGATCCCGTGGATCGGGGCTTGTTTCCACGCTAAATTTTAGAAGTATCCTGTTTTAGGCTTCCATACAACATATATGTACATCTTTAGAGTTCTTAATGTCTTGTTCAAACTCAATTTCTTACACCACCTCGTATTTGATGGCACACTGTAGTGATTGATGGCAGAAAGTGTAGCTTTACAGTCACTGCAATCAAATTAGTTGGAATTCAGTGTATGGATTTAGTCAGGGCATTGCAACCATATGATTCACAAAGGATGATCTGTAGAACACAATAACCTATGAGTTGGGTCACTCCCTTCTCTGTACCTTCTAGAACTCGGATTTAGGAGAGGGAAGGCTCTCCTGCTCTTAGGACAGTCTTTTAAGGAAACGGAGGCGTTGAGTTTCTGCTTGTATGACAGTTGTATGTAAAGGGAATTTTTTCTTGCTGTTATGTGCCCCAAGGTTAAAAGAGTTTGGCTTGGTTTGATCGATGATGTTAATCGATTACTCATACAAGACATATACGAAAAAACCCGAATCTGCATTTACCTTGTATAGTTGTTTTTCAGAAAGAATGATGTAGTTACTCGGCTCGTAAAAGAATGATCATGTTTCACCCGACTTGGTTGCAGTTCCCTGTTGGCCGTGTTCATCGTCTACTTAAAACAAGGGTCAGCGCCAACGGTAGGGTAGGCGCTACAGCAGCTGTGTACACGGCCGCAATTCTAGAGTACTTGACCGCTGAAGTTCTAGAATTGGCTGGAAACGCAAGCAAGGATCTCAAGGTGAAGCGTATAACTCCCCGACATCTACAGCTCGCCATTCGTGGGGACGAAGAACTCGATACTCTCATCAAAGGAACCATAGCCGGTGGAGGTGTGATCCCCCACATTCACAAGTCCCTCATCAACAAATCCTCCAAAGAGTGAGTTACTGTAAATATCTTAGATGAATCTCTGTGTCCTGTTATTGTTAACCCGGTGAGATACCTGGAAGAATAGCTTGTTGCTTGTACATAGAAGTTTCTGTCACCTTTCTTGAGCAGATGTTATTAAGCACATGCTTTACAGAGTCCCGCTTGCTCTTATGCTAATGCAGACAAAAGCCATGAATGTTGTAAAGCCCTAGATAGAACTAGAATGGAGATGTCTGGCAGAATTCCGAGGCATGTTAAGCTTTAGGGATGGGCAAAAATATCCGAAATCGGGTATTTGCATAACCATGGAGCGCTCGCATTGGCCTTTCACCGAGCTCGATCTTCACCTTGTCTAGTCTCGAATGGATCCTTGCCCTTGTCTTCGCCATGTTGAGAGGAAAAAACTGTAGAAGGTGGCATTTTAGTCCTTTTTTCCTCCCAACAGATCCACTGATTGGCTGTGCCCTGACATCTCCACTGGATTCTTCGCAAGAAGGTTTTTCTACCAGATAAGTGTTCTATTATCACAAGGAAGCCTCTCTCTCTCTCTCTCTCTCTCTCTCTCTCTCTCTCTTAACATTAAGAATACATTGTATGACCCTCAAAAATGTATCTCTAACAAATCACGAATCATTAATTGTATAGTCCCAATCTTTATATATACACTGTGATTCACAACTCACAAAATGTGTAACCCACGAGACGAATATGCGATTTTAATGTGAACCAAAATCAATTTCCTGATGTACTACTGTGTGGCCATAAACTTATATGCGTTTTTACTTGTGTCCATCATGTCCGGGTGGTGGCCTGACCACCGGCCACCGACGATAGATCCGAACCACAAATGTTGTACTTCTCGTATACATTTCTCCGATTCTCCGACCACCACGCCTCTGCTTGTTGCTCCCCGAATCTTCTCCGGCTGCAAAACGAGCCATGGAAAGAACGAAATGATCGGTATTCAAGTGTTAGTTCTGTGGAAGAACAAGATTCTTTGATTTTTCAAATAGATGTAGACAACTAGGCACATGAGTGCAGGCGGGGTACCCAAGATTTCTGGTGTACCCGATCTCGGCCTCAGTCCCCTCGGTATATTGGTTAGACTATCCGGCCTCGGTTTTGTGAGTTTCGACTACCCAAAAAAACTTCAAACTTCAAACATCCACGGGGTGTGGGGAGGGCTCAAGTACTCGCGGGGATCGAGCGAGAGGGTGAGACGGTGAGGGTCGAGGAGAGACATCTTGGTCCAAGGAGTGTGGCGAATGTGAACGGCGGCAAGGCACGACGAAAGCGAGCGACTAACAAAAATCGTGAAATCGCTAAATTCGTCTCACCCCCTCTCGTCCTAATATATTAGTCTAATTAAAAATACAGAGAAAAATAAACCCATTGTGAAACTCTAATGTCTCCAAATTGCCATCTTCTCATCCCTCGCTCTCGTGACCCTCACCGCCTCCCTTTCGTGTATGGCCCCATGCGGCCTCACACCTTCTCACTGGCTGTCCCCATCGGCCCAGGTAATCGCCGGACAAAACCCACGAATTCGAATTTCGGACTCCCATCCCGACAAACCCCTGCTCGATCTCACCTCGAGTGTCCCCAAATTTCGGGTACACATGCCCAACCCTAATATAAATATGACAAGGAAACAAAACCAGTTTAAGAGGAAAAAGAATCCGATGTTTTACCTGAAACGCACGCGTTTTAAGTCTCTGGTTCCATCGCGAAGCGCCACGAGTGTAATGTAGACACCAGGTTCATACTGCTCGATCCACTCTGCTTCAACTTGAGAAGCACTTGCTGCAAATTCTGCATTTCTCGACTTTAGGCCGTTTTCGCTGCCTTGAGAAGGCAAAGGTTGTTTACTTTCAAAACCTTCCAAGAATCCATTACTGGATCGCACACTGTCGGCTCCATCTGTATTCCTCGGAGACAGGGAATTCGGCCAGAGCCCGTGAAGTGAAGCTGTTCCCATCGCTAAGGGTGAAGAAGCCAGTGAGCTATCGCTCATCGAATCGGACCGAGATGGACGTCGTCCATTCGCATCTTCAGCAAAACGAAAACCATTTTGCTCTAACCCGTTTAGCAGACTGGATATCCATGTGGTCTCGGCTTCATAAGCGCCTGGTGGTAGCCGCTCGGCCATATCCTTTATCTGCAAGAAATGTTTCCAAGAAAATCATGAAAAATGGGAAACCAGATATCTTGAAGACTGACATTTATCATGTTTTATAAATTCTATACGATATATCGAGCATGAAACACACACACACACAGTAGTGATAGTTTCGAAACATGCAAGCCGATTTCAGAAAAATGCGATAAAGAGAGAAAGACCTGTGCTGTAAGGGACTTCATCACGTCTTTTGCAGCTTTTGATTTGGCAGATTCCTCTGATGCCATAGTCATGGCTTGTTGAATCTTCATTGCCGATTTCTGAAGCTCATGTTCTTGGACTTCACATCTCTGTCTCAACATTTCAACCTAAAATTCCACAATATTTTTGGAATAATGATGAGCGTATAGCAATGGGATTTTCAAGAGTTCGATACAGTGTACCAAAGAACACAACAGATTTAAAATAAAGGGTGGGAGAAGTATTTTACTTGGGCGCGTAACTGGAGGACTTCTTGATTCAGAAACTCATTAGTCTTCTTCAAACTTTCAGTTATAGTTGTCGAGAAACCAAGACCCGCTGTTGAAGGAATGGGAGTCACAGGAGGAGGACTAGATCTCCTTGAGAAAGGTGACACGGATCTAGAGCTTACTGCAGATGGAGTCGCAGCTGGTTTTGGAGGGACACGTCTTATGTCCGCGGCATTAGACAGAGCATCCCTAAGCTGTAATAGAGGTGTTTGGGAAGTGCGAACAAGAGAGAAAGTCTCCGATTTCTTCCCTTGTCTAGCTGCCTTGCTATCTAGCTGCTTGATCAAATCTATATTCGAAAGCATTCCCGACTTGGCCAATCTTATCTCAGCTTTGTCCAATCTGTCCTTGTTCTCACCAGAAAGACGTGGCAACGTGTTCTTCCTGCCATTAATACTAACTTCTACCACTTTGCTGAGCTTGGTGTAGCATGAATCACAGACCCGATAGGGCTTGCCAGGATTAGGAGCCAAGGCAGCTCTCAATGCTTTTTTTGAACTGCAGGAATGGCAATGGACAAGGCCACAGTTATAGCAGTTATGTCTCTTTCGTGTGAATCCAAAAGCCTGTCTACAGGCAGAACACTGAAATTGCTCGGCACCAGAAACCCATTTATGAAGACATATCGCTGCTGAATAGTTTGAACCACAGGCAACATATTTGACATGTCTATCTTTCAGAGCCTCGATAAGAGTAGGTGTTTTACGGTCCTCGATATCTCCATGACCTAATCTCCCATTGGCACCCTTGCCCCATGTATACACTTCATTCCTCGATGTCAAAATTGCTACATGATATGCACCACAGGCCACTTCTTCAACACACTCGTTACTGAGCTTGTCTTCTACTAAGCAAGGAAGCTTCCCATCAGCAAGGGGATTCCCTAGTTGACCATAAACCGTACTTCCCATCGTAAAAACGTTTCCTGAAGTCGTCAAGGCAACCGTCAAACTATGTCCACATGCAACTTTGTGAAAATTATAGTCAATCAGAGCTGATATACATGTGGGTTTAAGCCGAGCCTCTTTATCTCCATGACCAAGGCGGTTTTTATCTCCATCACCCCATGTGAAAAGCTTCCCAGATGAAACACATGAACTTGACTGAGTAACAATGACTTCTACTACTGCAGCAGTATGCCATACACCGCATGCAACAGAAATTGTTCTCAGCCCGGATAAGGATTCAACTTCTCTTGGATAAAATACAGTTTCTCTGTCACCATGCCCCAAAACACCAAATGTCCCATCACCAAAAGTAAAGAGTTGTCCACTTGATGTTATCAAAGCAGTGTGCCACGGTCCACAGGTCACAGAAGCAACTTGAAGACCTTCAAGAGGACCCGAGATTCTCTTGGGTATCCAATGACTCACACCAGTACCATGGCCAAGAAGGCCTGCATTGTGTGTTCCATCGCCCCATGTATAAATCTCCCCCGTCATTGTAACAGCACATGTATGGAACTCGCCACAGGCAACAAAATCGACACTAGTAACAGCTAGGGACTCGATAAGTTGTGGTCCAGTTACATCTTTTCCAATCCCATACCCAAGCCGTCCTCCGGATTCTTCACCCCAAGTAAACACCTCACCTTGTCTAGTCACAAGAGCAGCATGCCTTACGCCACATGCAATATGATGCACATCCAAAACTACATTGGATTCCAATGGACGTGGCAATAGAATATCCGATCTTGAAGTGACATAATTAGCATATTTATCGGCCCCTGTTTGGACAACATTATCGCATATCACCTCACCCCATATATAAACATCACCTAGAGCATCGCAATCATCTGGAGCAGAACCATGACTTGAGGTGCTCTGAGCACTAGATACACTAACCCGAAACACGTCTGACCCAGGTCCTCTTAGCATATTTGGACTTTCAGATGCCACATGTGACCTTTCAAAATTGAAAGAATTCTCAGGTCTTGAAGGAGGTTTCGGAAAATTGATTGAATTGTTGGTGAAGGGAGCCTCTGCAAAGTTGAAATCTTGAGAAGCACTAACTGAACTGTTGGTAGGACTTCCTAATGTGAAGTCTCTGCTGTCCTGAAGATGACGAAAATCAAACAAAACAACACTTCAGGAGAATCTACATAGAGTTACTTCTTCTGAGAAAAGAAAGTAATCCAGATATAGCATTCATTTGAAACACTATGATATATTGGAAGTGATCAAATAATACTGACATAACCCTTTTTTCATGTCTATAACTACATATAACACGTACAGTTAGGGGTGACCATTTCAGTTATTAACCGAATAACCGATCCGAACCGAATAAGACATAACCATACCCGAACCGAACCCGACATCAAAACCGAACGGTTATGATTTCCTTTAAACCCGAAAAACCGAAACCGAACCGAATAAAAAATAACCGAAAAAACCGAGAGAATAACCGACATTTTGTTTGGAAAATTGAACTTTTTACCAAAACCGAACCGAACCCGAACCGAAAAAATAATCGAACTGAACCGAACCGGAATTTATATAAAAACCGAATGGTTATAGTTTTTCTATAACCAAAATAACCGAACCCGAATATAACCGAACCAAACCCGAACCGAAACCCGAATTGGCCACCCCTACGTACAGCAATGGAGAGGCCTCCATTGCTCCAGCCATCAATTTTTGAGCGCCCACCCTGTCCTGATATCAGAGCTTTGAGACCTGCAATCCACACTTCTGCCTCAACTTTGTCCTTGCAGATCTGGAAGAAAAAAAAGGAGAAACGACTTCATTTGAACATATAAAAAGAAACTGTAATCTCTGTAAGAAAGAGTATCAAAGATAAGTCACCCACCAAATCAAGAGTCTGCTTCCCGTTGTTGTATATGAGAGAAAAAGATAAATAATCCTTTTCAGGACGAAGGTAACGTTGGAAAACAGCCTGGTAGCACAAAGAGGATACAAGCCGTAAGACTTTTACCAGGAAAATATTTTGCTTTCTTTGTATAATGCTGCAGAAAAAAAAAGAAACCAGAAATTTACAGTTCTTTGCCCTGGAACAATCCTAGAGATAGATGCTAACTTCAGACGTTTTTCACCACCATTTGATATCCATATCAAAGATGTCTCATCCTGCAAATATATAGCCGAAATAATAAGCCACCAAACAAAAGTTGAAAGAAGCCCAGTGATGTGTCGCCTGATCGGACATTACGGAGAAAAAATAATCCAGGATGCAATTGCCTTACATAGACATTATGATGAATTGGATCAACATATATCATGAAACTAAATTATAAAATTCTCAGCCAAGGATCCACATTAGATCCATACAGCGATGCCGTGGCCATTAGGAACACATTTTTTCTTTACCATAATATGACAGAGCTACAAAACTTTAGAGCGGACTAATTAAGAAACTCTTAGGAATGAGGTTCCAACTCAAAATCATAAAACACCATTCCGACCAACTGAACTGGGGTGACCAAAAAATTATGCTTAGAGACCACTATGCTTTTATCCATAGTCTTAGCAGAAAGAACATTCAGTCTTCTTTGTTAAACTATGCTCTTGCTTGTAACCTAAATATGAATACAATAGAGCTTCTATACCTAAAATCGAAAGAAGACTTACATTAGAAAGTCTGAAGGGACAAAACTTCGGCTTTCCTTTCCGACCATACTTCAGTAGTTGTGCACCTTTTTTCAAAGCAATTAAAGCCTGCAAAAGCCATGAAAGACGTAGTTGCGAAGATTCAGGAGCGTCCAAAAATGCCACAAATAAAAAACAAAAATCACAGAGGCAGCCAAAGATAAATTCCAGACTTATTCTCTTTACAGAAAACAATTATGGACACAGAATAGACTTCTGCCATATTCACGTTACGAGACAACAACATTAACCCAAAATCTGTTCAAAGGCCCCGGGGCCAGTCTATGAACTCCATTAAAGGACGAACAGACATGAAAGAAAATTCGGGATCACCAGAGATACAAGAAACAGCCAAATTTCGCAGAATAATCGTGACTTTCAAATTGAAACTAGAAGCCCAATCAACTGGATACCAAATGGTGGTGCGAATTGCTAGTTTCATTGGGCTTCTCCGTTCAATTCGTGGTATTTTCATTGGTTACCAATGAAAGTAACAGTTCATATCACCTATACGGATAATTCACTTTCTGGCATACACTGACGAAGCTCCCATTTTCATCAAGATGCTCTACGGAGAGAGAGAGAGAGAGAGAGAGAGAGAGAGAGAGAGAGAGAGAGAGAGGGAGAGAGAGAACCCGCTCGATGTCTCGCTCGGCATTACCGTAGCTAACAAGATCTGCCATTCCATGTGATATGTTCACCAAACCGACACCCTCTACGATCGCACGCCGGAGCACCGGTCATCATAAACAAACAAGATGGCGTGAATTCCCCACCGCTGTAACCATCAAATTCTTCCGCTCGAGACACGCAATCATACACTGTATCTCAAATCCTTTTCAGAAAAGCAGAGATTATCTTCACAGAAGAAACAGAGAAAACCTGCTCGATGTCTCGCTCGGCATTACCGTAGCTAACAAGATCTGCCATTCCATGTGATATGTTCACCAAACCGACACCCTCTACGATCGCACGCCGGAGCACCGGTCATCATAAACAAACAAGATGGCGTGAATTCCCCACCGCTGTAACCATCAAATTCTTCCGCTCGAGACACGCAATCATACACTGTATCTCAAATCCTTTTCAGAAAAGCAGAGATTATCTTCACAGAAGAAACAGAGAAAACGCAAAGCCACTCCGTTTGGCTCCACGAACAGTGAAGATCTGCAACTCTACCGAATTCAAAACCCTATCTACTCAAGCTCGAAATTCTAGTGAAATTCCACCGATCTCAGCTCCTTTCCAAGGAAAAAAAACCCACTGTTTCGAACGGAAACGGCTTTTATGTCCACTTCTCTTGGGAAAAGCAGTTTCCCGGTAACCGAAGACAACTCTCCGGCGACCGAAATCCTCTCGTCGAGACAAACTGAGGAAAAACCCGACGCCGGAAAAACGGAAGAGGCGAAGGAGAAGAGAGACCTGAGAGAAATTGAGAAAATGGAGTCGGGGATGAAGCGCAGCGGAGAGAGAGAACCGGCGGCGAAAATAGTCTTCCGCGTAGAAATCCAAGTACGGACGGAGTCAAAGTTGAATAGTAAAATATTAAAAAATAATAGTTAATAAAATATATATTCATATATATTTGACAAAATAATTATATTTTATTTCTAGATGGTAAATCGTCTGACAGAAAAATGGTAAATCAATTTTTTTGTTGCGATGTTTACTGTAAATTATTTTTTTAAAACCGTAATACAAAATGTAAATATGTTTTATCGTTTAAGAGGAGATATCACATGTCCTATTTTTTTTTACTAATAACATGTAATTTTCATAATAATGAATCTAATTTAATAATACATCTGTAATAATATACAATAATATCCGACAAACGATCGAAAAATTAATAAGAGATAATCTTTGAATGAAATTAATAGAACTGGATTCGTATTTAAGTATAATCTAAAACAATTTTTAATAAATATATTTAATAAACATTAAATATGAATTAAATCGAGTAAAATTTTGATAACATTGAATGATTATAGTTGTTCAAAAAAAAAATTATATCCGAAATATTTATATGAATCATTTTTACTGTAAACCAAAAATATTAAAGAATTATAATTATATAATTATCTTTTTTTTGTATTAAATTATATAATTATCTTATACAAAAGAATAAGAAAATTATCCTAATCCATAAACATCTAGATGAATAGAAAAGATTATGTTTTTATTCAAATGATTAAATTTAATATATTAACAAAATGAATCAGTTTGATTTTTTCAAGCAAAGACTTGTATGCACATTACAGTATTATTTAACACCAATCTTATGAATTACGCGGGTTTGTTTTGTTTTCCTTTATATACATCGGTGTTAATTTGCCGCGTTAAGGCCTGTTAGGGGCGTCACGTTTTCAAGCCAAACACGGCCTTAAGACTTCAGTAATCGCACGCGCCGTCGAGATCCGAGGTAATATCACGCGCCGGCGAGGAAGTATGTTTGTTTGTTTGTTTGTTTGGGCATCACGTCGTTACACCGATGGTGCTCGCACGTTTTGTTGGGGAGACAGGTGCGTAATGACGATAATACCCTTTCCATCTCGATGACGTGGCGGGTGCCGCACCTCGTCAATCGTCATGGCCGGCTGAGTTGAACGAGTACATTTGATGGGGGGATTTACAAAAATGACTTTAAATGTCATTTTGACTTCAAGGGTGACCTTGAAATTTTGATAATTCCAATTTTGTCCTTCAATATAATAATTATATTTTATTATTATTTTATTCAGGAGACTTTATTTCGTTTTCGAAAAAACTTAATATTTCTTTTATTCGGTTTAGCGTTTCTTCTAAAAATGGGAGCCAATGTCCATTATAATTATCTTTCGATGAATGTTTTCTAAAATATTCAATTTTTATTTCTTTTATTGTAATTAATTTATTTAATTCTGTAATTATATTGTTAATTTGTTCTTTTTCTATTGTATTTTGTATGCATCTTAGTTTACTATATGTTTCTAAATGTTGTACTGGTGCGTTTAATAATTCGATATTTTTCTTGTATATTTTTTCCATTTTATTCGTCAGAATTTATAATATCTCGTTTAATCTCTCTTACTGCGTTAAATATTGCACTAATCATTCTTATTTTTCGATTTTCCTTATTAAGTTCATTTCGTTCAATTGTTCCATAAGTTCGTTCTCTGAATATACTTTCTATAGTTTCAACTAATAATTGTTCAAGATGATCTAGGCATGGTAAACTTTCAAGATTTAATAAGGATAGTTTTTCGATAAAGTCTTCGTTGAAATTCATTTTGTAAGATTATTGATTTGTGATATTGTTTTTCGTAATTTAGAGTAATCTTCCGGGTTTTCTTCTGATTGTTCAGTGTTGAATAATAGAGATGGTGATTCTTGTATACTTAATCTTGGGTTAAGTCGTAACAACGATTTTCGTCCTGGTCATCAAGATGTTCCTACTCTATCATTCTAAAAATCCTCCAAATGATGTTCAAAACGGGTGTCCGAGGTATGCACGTGAACCTATATGAACCTATATCTATATGTCATATGCAATCATTTTTTCCAGATGAAAGATTTCCCTTTCCTTCAGCTATAATACTTTCTTTATAATTGGTTAATCTGTCATCTCTAATTTGAAAGGTAATCGGGGAATCGATACCTTCTTTGAATGTTGATTTTATAATTATTTGAATAGTACTACAGTGTATGTAGGCTATTTGTTTTCTTTGTTTTTCGGGACAATTTCTGAGTCGTTCTAAGATTTGTTCTTTGTTAATAATTGGGAGAATGAGTTCTCCTGTAGTTTGTTCAATTGGTACTGGTGTTTCTCCAACCATTATTCCGAACTTTATTATGTTTGTTCTCGATAATTGCTTCTTTATTTTTCCTAGTATAGTCTGTTCGAAGTTTTCATCTTTTTGGAGATCAAAACTTATTTTTCGTATTTTGTTTATATCTATAATTCCATCAAAGAAATATTCTTCATCTGATTGTATAAAATTATCGAATGCAGAGGTTGATGCCATACCTGATTCGCTTTTGTAGATAATCCCTGTCGGTTGGTGTTGGTGATGATCGTTTCCTCGTTGGTGATCCGGAGATCTGATCGGTTTTTTGATATTGTTCAGGGGCGGTGTTTAGTTCCAGAGTTCTGGAGTAATTGGTTTGTGATTCAAAAGAATCTATTCAAGGCCTCCAGAAGATATAGATCTTCAAGCCAATCTCTTGAGAGAGATCTTTCAGAGAGAGTTCTGAAACAAATCCGTTTATTTCACTCTGATTTCTCCCAACAGAGAGAGCTCATATTTATACAACTTTGGAACCCTATCGGTTAGGATAAGAATCTCAAACCGGGGCCCGACTTACACACATGGCATTACATAATTATACAATAAAGATTACAGAGATAAGGTTCATGATAACCTTATCTTTTATTGGGGCCTATTGCCGACAATATTATTTCACATGGTCACTAGTCCTTATCACCTTTAATCACGCGTCTGCCGATTCTTCTGATGGTGGTTGGCTGTTTCTTTTCATTTTGTCCTTTAGTTCTTTGCAGATAGTGCATTTGTGATCATCATACCTCATCAGGAAGCTGCAGAGCTGTTCCTTGATGGATTCTTCTAATCCTGCGAATTTTCCTTCTAAGTGATAGAAGTCTAATTCGAAATCTGCTACTGCTTGCATTTCTTCCTTTGAAATGGTCGAATTGTTATAGGTGATGACTAATACGTTACTGCTGGCATAGTTGACTTTGATTTCTGAATCCGCAAGGATTCTTCTTGATGCCTTGAATACTTCCAATAATGAGTGAGCTTCCAGGTCATCTGGAATCTCATATTCTGATGCGTCGTCTCTTGAAGGCAAATCTCCTTTTGCCACTCCAAGGTGTATTACAGCCTGAGACTGTATGATCTTATCTTTTCCGAAGATCGGGATTGAACTTTTAATCTTCATGAAGATGGTTCTTTCTTTTGCGAATCGTTCGAAATAATTCCTGATAATTGGTTTCATCCTTCTTGGGAATTCTTCAAATATTTTCATTGAATCAGTATAAATACTGTCGACTAATCCATGTTGAAGATAATCAAAGGCTAGTAATGGGTTGGCTTCTCCGATGAAGATAGCCTTTGGTCCAGTTCTGGTCATTTTTGGGTAAAAACCCATGGTGGTGTGTTTTTCTTTGTAGTCCACTAGGGATGCCCAGTAGGACTGGTATTTCTCGAGGGTGACCTTTTTCATGGCCTCCTTTTCTTGTGTGGTTGGTATTTGGGCTATTCTGGGTATTTTCATTGATGGTAGTTGGGCTTTTGGTTCGACTGGTTGTTTTTGGGCCATAGTCTTGTAGGATTCGTTTAAGGCTTTTTGGGCCTCTTCTTTGGTTTGGAAAGTTTGGTGTGAAACCTTCTTTCCGTTGGTATGTTGCGAAAAGATCGCGTAGTCTTCGTATACTCCTCTGAATGGTCCACTAAAGATAGCGTACCATTTGTTTGATTTTTCTTTTATCTTGATATCAGTAGGAAGTGTAACCTGATCTAATCCTTTTGTTGTATGTTCTTGCTTTTCGTCTTCTTCTACTGGTGTTCCACCAGTTGCTTTTATGATGATGTTCAAGGATTTAATCAACTCCTCTCTCTCCTCAAAGAGTTTTGAGAGATTTTCCTGAATAGTCTTGATCTGGTTGTCTTTTTGACTGATCTGTCTTTTGGCAAAACATAGAGTTGCTCCAGTGTCTATGTATGCTAATAATCTTTTCTTTTCAATAGTTATTTGTATGAATGTTGCGTTAGGGTTTCCTGATTTTAGTATTTTTCTATTCATTTTCTGAATCGGATGATTCAGTGGTATATGCATATATTTCGATGTCAGAGTCAAACTCTGAATCTGATTCGATTGGTTCAAAGCCCATATCGTATGTTATTCGTAGTATTTCTGTTTCTTTTTTCTTTCCTTTTTTAGGACATTCATTTGCATAATGTCCCTCTTCTTGGTATAGCCAACATTTACAATTCCTTTTCTTAGAAGGACAGTATGTATCCTTCTTACCATAGTTTTTCTTTTTGTATTGTTTTCTATTTCTGAAATATTTTTGTGGTATGTATTTTTGTTTCCTATATTTTTTATAAGGAATTTTTCTCCATTTCTTTTTTTTATGTTTTTGGCGAATAGGTTCACAACCATATTTGCCTATTTGTCCTGGTATTGCACCACAACATAACTTATCGATTTTTGCCTCTTGTTTTCGTTTTTCTTGATTACATTGAAACAAATGCCAATCTTTTAATGTTGTTATTCTTCCTCCTAGAGTATTGGGAATTTGTCCCTCATTTACTTTATTCTGGTATATGGTTTTTATTTCTTCTGATATTGATAAAGGTAGTTTATCGAAGAATAATTCTTCGGCTACTATTTTCTTATCCGTTGCTAGTTGATAGTAATGATCTCTAAATTCGCAAATGAATGCTTCAAGATAACACATGTTACAAATTCTAAGATTTACTATTTTCCATAGTGCAACTTCTGATATTAGTGTTTCTCTTAATTGTGCGTTAGAAGTTCTTCCAAGAAATTCTTCTCCTATTACGTCAATTAGCCTAACAAATGTTTCCCATGCAGTTGATCTTAGAATTTTCTCTGCTTTTATTCCTGTTGATAATCCTATTAAATAGTTGTATACTATTCCTGTTGTTTTATGTTCTAAGTAACTTAACATTTCGTGAGGGTGTAAATCTCTTAGTTCCTTATTAGTCTGTATTAACAAACTTGTACGATTTTTCCAATCTTCTAATGTTCTAGTTGGATTAATTTCACAATCTAAATTTAATATTTCAGAAGATTTTATATTAAATGTATCATATTTGGGAATATATTCAAAAGGAACTTTTCTCCAATTGTTTCCTTTCGGAATATATTGGTTTTGATATAGTTCATATTCATGATCTTTGTATCCTTGATATTCATCATGTGTTCGTTTTTTAGGTAATGTATTATTATTACTATTATTATTACTGTTCTCCCCCCTCTCTAGTTCGGTTTTTACTAGGAAAGGATTATTATATGGATTTTCGTAAGGATTTTCATCGCTGCTATAATCTAAGACAATTTTTTCAGTTTCATCAGGTTGCTCTTCTTCGGGTATATTAAGAGCCGCTAATAATGTTGATAATCTTTCTATCTGATCATCTAGTCCTTCCATTATATCTTTGGTGGTGATCTAATTCGAAAATTAGATTTATCGATAATAATTAATTCTTTTGTTTCTTTTTTAAAATAATTTTGTAAGTCTTTTATAGTGATATATCTATTTTGGTTAAGTCGTTCGATTATTTCTTGTAACTGTTCTATTATTTCTAATATTTTTGGTTTTTCATTTTCATCTGGATCTATTATTTCTTTTCCGTTATTTCTTATAATAATATTATTTAAAATTATTTCCTATAATTATATCTAATCCAGAATCGTGTTGATATATTGTTTTTGCTGGAAATATTTTAGTTTCTATAATTATTGATACGTGTTGAGCCACATACCAGATTTCATGAGCTGATTTATCAGCCACTACTATCCGTAGTGGTTTCTCTAATCGTACCCATTTTTTGGTGATATTTCTTTTAGCGAAACATAGAGTTGCTCCGGTGTCTATGTATGCTAATAATTTTTTCTTTTCAATAGTTATTTGTATGAATGTTGCGTTAGGGTTTCCTGATTTTAGTATTTTTCTATTCATTTTCTGAATCGGATGATTCAGTGGTATATGCATATATTTCGATGTCAGAGTCAAACTCTGAATCTGATTCGATTGGTTCAAAGCCCATATCGTATGTTATTCGTAGTATTTCTGTTTCTTTTTTCTTTCCTTTTTTAGGACATTCATTTGCATAATGTCCCTCTTCTTGGTATAGCCAACATTTACAATTCCTTTTCTTAGAAGGACAGTATGTATCCTTCTTACCATAGTTTTTCTTTTTGTATTGTTTTCTATTTCTGAAATATTTTTGTGGTATGTATTTTTGTTTCCTATATTTTTTATATGGAATTTTTCTCCATTTCTTTTTTTTATGTTTTTGGCGAATAGGTTCACAACCATATTTGCCTATTTGTCCTGGTATTGCACCACAACATAACTTATCGATTTTTGCCTCTTGTTTTCGTTTTTCTTGATTACATTGAAACAAATGCCAATCTTTTAATGTTGTTATTCTTCCTCCTAGAGTATTGGGAATTTGTCCCTCATTTACTTTATTCTGGTATATGGTTTTTATTTCTTCCGATATTGATAAAGGTAGTTTATCGAAGAATAATTCTTCGGCTACTATTTTCTTATCCGTTGCTAGTTGATAGTAATGATCTCTAAATTCGCAAATGAATGCTTCAAGATAACACATGTTACAAATTCTAAGATTTACTATTTTCCATAGTGCAACTTCTGATATTAGTGTTTCTCTTAATTGTGCGTTAGAAGTTCTTCCAAGAAATTCTTCTCCTATTACGTCAATTAGCCTAACAAATGTTTCCCATGCAGTTGATCTTAGAATTTTCTCTGCTTTTATTCCTGTTGATAATCCTATTAAATAGTTGTATACTATTCCTGTTGTTTTATGTTCTAAGTAACTTAACATCTCGTGAGGGTGCAAATCTCTTAGTTCCTTATTAGTCTGTATTAACAAACTTGTACGATTTTTCCAATCTTCTAATGTTCTAGTTGGATTAATTTCACAATCTAAATTTAATATTTCAGAAGATTTTATATTAAATGTATCATATTTGGGAATATATTCAAAAGGAACTTTTCTCCAATTGTTTCCTTTCGGAATATATTGGTTTTGAGATGATTCAGTGGTATATGCATATATTTCGATGTCAGAGTCAAACTCTGAATCTGATTCGATTGGTTCAAAGCCCATATCGTATGCTATTCGTAGTATTTCTGTTTCTTTTTTCTTTCCTTTTTTAGGACATTCATTTGCATAATGTCCCTCTTCTTGGCATAGCCAACATTTACAATTCTTTTTCTTAGAAGGACAGTATGTATCCTTCTTACCATAGTTTTTCTTTTTGTATTGTTTTCTATTTCTGAAATATTTTTGTGGTATGTATTTTTGTTTCCTATATTTTTTATATGGAATTTTTCTCCATTTCTTTTTTTTATGTTTTTGGCGAATAGGTTCACAACCATATTTGCCTATTTGTCCTGGTATTGCACCACAACATAACTTATCGATTTTTGCCTCTTGTTTTCGTTTTTCTTGA